GGAATAGGAATGGAAGGAATTGGATGTCTCTTGACGGGAGCTTTTGGTAGTGGAAATGGTACAACCTCGTACAGTGAGAACATTGGAGCCATTGGAATTACAAAGGTAGATGATTTGCACGGGTCATTTACAATGCTTGTTGCTGCTGGTATGTACGTTGTGACTGTTGCTCTTTGACGACAATGTATTTGGGTGCTTCCCTCTGTGAAGATTGCACAAGACAAGGCTATGGACAATTTCTCTTGATGGGATAAGACGGATTAGCTTGTTTAATTTTGTCATTTGGTGCCTTTGTGACAGTTCCATCTTCACTTCTGTCTTAACGCCTTTCTGTTGCTTGTCCTCATGATCAACCACAGTTCCTTATTGCTGATTTGAGCAGAGATTGCCTGCTGGACGTTTTGTTTCTGTGATCGATGTCAAGCGAAGGGTATAATCCTGAGAGACCAAGTTAAATCTTTATAATTTTGTAGTAGCATTATAATTAATTTAACTTGTCTTCGACGGTTTCCAGGGGACTAAAATGGGATTTGGTTATGTCCTTTTTCGCAAAAGAAAAAATTGGATTTACTGGGTCTGGGATTTGGATATCTTCCAGCATAATGCCTTCTTTCTCAATAGGTTGGAAGTCTTCGTGTTATCCAGTTTGGAGCTCTTGTAATGATGGTTCTTGGTGTTCTTGGTAAAATTGGCGCGTTATTCGTCAGCATTCCAGATCCCATTGTTGGTGGAGTTTTTATGGTCATGTTTGGAATGATTGCTGCAGTTGGCATCTCGAATCTGCAGTTCGCTGACATGAATTCCTCCAGAAACTTGTTCATCGTTGGATTTTCCATTGTGTTTGGATTAGCTCTGCCACATTACATGAAGACTCACCCGAACGCGATTGACACAGGTATGATTTACAGTGCTAAGTGTTGATGGCTGTTGAATCACTACAGTGCAGCAACGCCAACAACTACCTGAAACTTAAAAAAAAGTTATTCACAACCTCATCCCAACGCGATTGACACAGGTATAATATACACTGGAAGACAATAATCCCTATTGCTTTGCCTGAGTGCAAATTTCTTTTAACGACAAACTGTACACTGACTCAGAACAGAACGCCTGCTGCCAGTGGACGTTAGCAGTTACTTGCAATGACTTACAAACGAGTTATTCGCGACCTCAACAAACCAACCTTCAAGCCTGACCAACTGAACTTTGACTCACAGTAGAAGGATCCAAATTTATTTTGAAAGACCAATCACTGGAAACTACTGTAGCTTTACTCGAGTCTTTAAAAGGACCAGTAATTTCGTCAATTTCAAGGACCAGACTTGGGCTGATAAATAACTTTGTCCTACATTATTATGATAGCCACCGATCAGCTAAGGTTGCTAAAAAGTATACATTTACTTTGAGTTAAAACAATGTAAAATTCATTTTGTTGTTGTTGCTTTTTTGTTTTAGCCTTGCATATATAGTATTTTATTAGAATAACAAATATCGAAGGCACCTTTTTTAGTGTAGGGTGATTCCAAAAATGAATTATCCACGTAGAGTAGGTGTAGATGGCAAGAGTTTTTCGCTTGCCCAAATTTTCCATAACAATCAACATGCTCCTGTTCCTGAATAGGTTGTTGGGCAATTTACATTGCATTTATTATAATGCCTAGCTCACTGAGTGGGCAAGATAAACCAAATCCTGCGCTGTGATTGGCTACCCGATTGGGCAAGATGGCGTTATCTTGCCTGCTCAGGATCTTGTGCTGTGTCCCGCAAAAAAATTTGTTCTTTATCCCCTATAATAAATCCTGTATTGACCAAGCTTGTTCGTTCGAGATGGCTGGATATTCTCGTTCTTTCTTTTTCCCGTCCCGGTCCATAAATACGCAAAAAAAAAAATATCCAGCGATCTTGACCTTACGCTTGGCCAACAACCACTATTTATGGGCTTATAAGACCTTATAGCTGAACTTTAACGACATATATCTTAAACAGGAGTTTCAGAAATCGACCAGATACTGACGGTCCTGTTCTCAACAAGCATGGCAGTGGGTTGTATCGTTGCATTGATTCTGGACAACACCATTCCTGGTACCATTNACGTCTGCGAACCCGAGCCAAGAAACGATTTCTGTGACGTAGGAATTTTAAGCCAATCACAGTTTAGCTCAAGTAACCCCAGAACTACTGCGCGAGGTACTCGCTGCAAGGAGCACTCGAGTCTCATTGTATCATGGAATCTGATTGGCCAAAGAAAAACAAAAGTCATTACGTCACAGAAATCGTTTCCTGGCTCGGGTTCGCAGACGTTATTTTTCGGCGGAGACAAGCGACAGCCGGAAATACGTCTGCGTTCGCAGGCTACTACTCGAGGACTATTACTAATAGTCCTCTAGGAGCGTAGCCAATTAAAATGCAGGATTCGCATTAGTCCACTAGTTGGGTGATACTAACATTATTTATCCTGCTTTGAAGACATCTGAGCCTGCTGTCCAACCATTACCCCAAAAGAAAACAAGACTTCTTGGCTTGTCTTACCTTATCGATGAGAACCCACCATGGTACATCTGCTTACTGTTGGGTTTCCAGGTTAGGCTAGCAACTATCAACTTTCATTACTTTTTCCTCGGCCTACTGTGGTAGGTAATCTTTGTCCGATCTACAGGACTCCTTCGTTTTTAACTAACGGCTAAATTATTTGGATAAAATGTGTTGGTCGCTTTAGATGAGATGAGACATACCTGTGCTGAACTTTATTTTCATGCCTAACTGATACACTACCTTAACCCTGCTGGGATTAGTTAACCTATTAACAACAAGACAGTTATTGACGATACGATGACTTAAACACTCCAGTTGGTTTTTATCCGCACAGTTAAGTACCACTTAAACGAAGGTTGCTGCACATTAGTACATGACAGCTACAACAAGAAGCTACTTTTGATACATTGAAATTCAGCTTGAAAGCGAGGCCTAGAGTCAGAAACAAGCAAATGAATAGACATGCTCATTCAGTTTCCTTTGTTTGTGTCCTCTAAGCCTCGCTGCCCACTTGAATTTTAATATATCGAAAAAAAAGTCTATTGTGGCGTCACGTGTCAGTGTACAGGTGGCGGTCGGGGACTACCATCGTAGTTTTCAAACTCCCGGGTTCGAGCTAGTGCTTAGCTCTACCTACAACATTTCTAAACGTTTCGCCAAGCACTTGTGCTCGCATTTGTGTGGGGTATGGTTAACGATGTTTTCTGATTCACACAGTTTGGCATTCATTCAACCAAGATGTTGCAGTTTTTGCTGTGTTAATCAAAAGCAATTATTGTATGACAACGCAAACGGACTGGTACCATTTTGATTTCCAAAATTAGCACTTTAATTTCATATTGCATTTGCGCTCTCACCTGACTCATTCGTCAGTCCAGTGACAAATCAAAAGCTACATATCTTGTTGAGTAGTAGTATTTTTTGCTGAGTACGTTATCCAGAAAGAATATAATAAAGTTATATGTACCCCGAGTAGCTAGCGGACGAAAAGAGTTTACTGCCCAGATATTAGAGGAGTTATATCATCTACCTGGTCTATTTGATTATTTTTTATGTTTTCGGTTCGTGTGTTTGTCTGTTTTAGGATTATCGTCTTAANAACAAGTAGATTCGTTTTAGCGAAAAAAAATTTTGGGGTTTAGGTGCACTTTAATAGCGCTGTTTTCCCAGTACCTTACCAAGTTTGAGATTCCAGTGCCGGGATATAGCAAAGAACGGAGAGGTTTTTATGTTAGCCGATATCCACTGTTCAGATTATATCCAGTGAGTATAGGTCTTTGGACATTTCGAAATGTATTTTTTAATTTTGTTTAGTCCCTCTTTATGAGCTTAACGTGTGTTCATATGACTACATGCATGTCGCGTGGTTTATACGCAGGTAATTCTAGCAATCGCAGTATCGTGGATAACCTGCGCAATCATCACCACAGCGGGAGGCTTTCCTTCTGATCCCAGCATTCCTCAGTACCTGGCGAGAACTGACGCCAGGGCTGAAGTGTTAAAAGAAGCCAAATGGTTCAAATTTTCGTATCCAGTTTAGCAGAAGTAATTGGAGTCATTCTTGCATTCTTTCAGGCTTGTGCGTGTACTGTTTAACACGTGATGTTTTTTTTTTTGCAGATCAATTCGGAATGCCTACTGGGGTGTTGGTCTCCATCATTGGGTTCGTGGGAGGTTACTACGCTTGCGCGAGATTATCAGGAGCCCCTCCACCGCCAAAACATGCAATAAACCGCGGAATAGGAATGGAAGGAATTGGATGTCTCTTGACGGGAGCGTTCGGTAGCGGAAATGGCACAACCTCGTACAGCTGTGTAAATATTGGAGCCATCGGAATCACAAAGGTAAACTATTTGCACAGGTCATTTGCATTGTTTGGTGTTGCTGTTGTTTTCACTGTGGATGTTCTTGTTCTTATTGTTGGTCTTACTGTTGTTATTTTTTTTCATTGTTCGTCGAACAGTGACAAAAATGTATTTGGGTACACTCCTTCGGAAAGACTACATGTAACAAGGCTATGGGCTATTTCTCTTGATGGGATAACCTGTTTAATTTTGTAAGTTGGTGGCCTTGCGACTGCTTCGTGACACCTACCTAGAGTGATGTTACCTGTCCTCACGATCAACACAGTTTTTTGTTGCTGATTAGAAAAACTGTGGCTGATTTGAGCAGAGATGGTCTGACATTGCAGTGTTTTTGGTCCATGTAAAGCTAAGGGTACACTATTGACAAACCAAGCTAAATCTAGATAATTTGGTAGTTGCATTATAATGAATTTCACTTGTCTTCGACGAATTCTAGAGGAGTAAAATGGGAACTGCGATTTGCCCTTTTTCTCAAAAGGAAAATATAATTTGATTTACTGGGTCTGGGACGTAACTTTGACTGAGAAAAATAATCCTGAAATGGAATGTGAGTCTCATAAGGATTTATCTGGAACTTAAAGTATTAAATATAAGGAGAAAGATTTTGACTGAAGTTAGTCTTAATGAATAATGCCTTATACTTTATTAGGTTGGAAGTCTTCGTGTTATCCAGTTTGGAGCTCTTGTAGTGATGGTTGTTGGTTTTCTTGGTAAAATTGGCGCGTTATTCGTCAGCATTCCAGATCCCATTGTTGGTGGAGTTTTCATGGTCATGTTTGGAATGACCGCCGCTGTCGGAATCTCGAATCTTCAGTTCGCTGACATGAATTCCTCCAGAAACTTGTTCGTTGTTGGATTTTCCACTGTTTTTGGATTAGCTCTGCCACATTGCATGAACGGTCATCCTAACGCAATTGACACAGGTATGATTTACACTGGAAGACATTAATCCCTGTTGCTTTGCCTTAGTACAAATTCTTTTAACGATAGTTGGTACACTGACTGTGAACCGAATGCCTGCTGTCAGTCGGTACCAACAGTTACTTGCAACTTAGTAACGAGTAATTCACGCCTCAACAAACTGGCTTTCGAACCTGACTATCATCTGAATTTTGATTTACATTAGACGGATCCAATTTTATAACAAGTGACCAATCCCTGGAAACTAGCTTTCCACGAGTCCTAACGGCTAGTAACATCAGCAATTTCAAGGACCTGAAATCGTACTTCGGACTAAAAAACAACCTTGCCCTGTGCTTGGTCAGGTTGTTAAAGCATCACTCTCGAACACTGAACAATCTTTTCATGATTCCTTACCCGAATGCTTATACTAAACGAACAAATTTTATATGTACCCCAGGCCTGATACAATTTAAAATGCAAATTAAGCGTAGTTTTTCACCTAAAGTTTAAACCGCGCATACATATACCGTAAATCCTCGAATTAGCGCCCGGGGCGCTTATTTCAAATTTAGGAGAAGACGGGGGTGCTTATTCAAGGGGGCCCTTAATCGAGGGGGGGCGCTTATTAAATTTTTCCCCAACCGTGGCCTGACAAGATCATTTTTAATACATCATATCCGCATAAACAGCAACATAAGCTGCTTATCGACATAAAAAGCTGATCCTAAAGTTTAAATCGCGGCACCGTTAGTACTCGTAAATGTTTTCCAAACTTAACGTGTTCAAAAACTGAAACAATGCACAAATCTAATACCACACGACGAAAACTATACATCCCTTTCGTTGTCTTATTACTCGTCCATGAAATGGGGGAAGGGGAGGGGGCGCTTATTCGAGGGGGGGCGTTTATTTTAAATTTTGGCTGATAGGAGGGGCGCTTATTTGAAGAGGGCGCTTATTCGAGGGGGGGGCGCTAATTCGAGGATTTACGGTATTTTATTAAGAATAGCAAAACCCCAGGGCACCTTTAAAATTTAACAATTTAAAAAAGAAAAATTCCCACGTAGAATAGAAGTAGATGGCGAGGGGTTTTGTTGAATGAAGTTCGCTTGTTACAAAGTTTCCATAACAATCAATATATTCTCCTTCCCTAAAAGGTTGTGGGACACTTTAGCCGTTTGTATTTGACATATCAATAAAAATCTGCGCTACATTTTCGTTGCTTTTCTGGGCCTATAATTGGAAATTAACGACATACATGTATATCTTAAACAGGAGTTTCAGAAATCGACCAACAAGCATGACAGTGAGTTGTATTGTTGCATTGATTCTGGACAACACCATTCCTGGTACCTTTGTGGAACGCGGGCTTAAGGCTTGGAGGCAACACCTGTCAGATGACAGTGACGAGTTTCAAACAGCTTCTATTAAAGTGTATGATCTGCCGTTTGGTCTCAATCGCATCAGTAACTACAAAGTGGCAAAGTATTTGCCTTTCCTACCGCACAACGACAAGGATCGCTCGCCAACAGCTGATGTGGAACTGAACGTTGCTAGTTCCTAGCTGGAACTGATTGAAACTGTTGACAGTCTATAGGAATGAGAGACGTTATTTCCAGTTAGCCGAATAATTTCTTGAAAAGTAAGAGATAGAAAAGTGCCCAATTAGTTGACCCCGGGGGGTACTTCCTTATATGGGCTATATAGCTATGTGCGGCCCTTAAGGGTAAGGTTTTTCAGCCGTTTTGGTCATAAATGGGGTGTCGAGTTTGGCCATTTTGGTCATAAATAGAGTATGGTTTTTGCACTCTAGTCTTGAATTAGGTATGTTTTTTAGAAGAAGCTACTTTTTCATCATTATCGATTAGACCATCATCAAAAGCCCTTCATAAATTATGTTTAGGACAACTGTGCTAGCCACAACGGTCATAAATAAGGTATCGAATTTTTGGTCAGGTCATAAATAGGGTAGGGAAAAACGCAGACTTTGTCATAAATAGGGTAACGGTTTTGGGAAGCGGGCGGCTCACCCCCACCAAATTTTTCTGGGAATATCTCCCGTGAGTTGACCAAACATGATACAGTGGAACCCCGGCCGTTTTGGCACCACTGCTAAAAGGGGCCATTTAAAATTTCGTCGTTTCAGCACGTAGTGAACGAGTTACTAGACTCGAAAAATGACTGACTGAGCTACTCTTTAAATCAAAGGGTGTTGTAACGAGGTGCTCGTGAGGCAAGTTAGCCTGTATATCACTAGCCATTTAGAAATGTGATTATCGCTTAACCGTATTGTCAAAGTCAATAGCAGGTAAGTCAGATAGCCCAATTCGGCGAATGCACACTGTAATTATTTTCGTTGCAAACTCTAATTTCGTTCTAAAATTAACTTTTCATCACTGGCCAGTTGAGTTTGGACTTTTTGTTTTGCCATAAATATCTTACAGAAAAATGGCAGACGGTTCCGTAGATGAAGACTAGTTTCAACCTTCAGACTCATCTCCCCTATTTTGTATTTTTCTATCTACGCTCCAGGCCTTGCTGCCGCTTCTTGACTATTATTTTGCGTAAGTTTTTGCTTGTTCCATACTTCGTTTAATAGTTTTAAAAAAGGCTTCACATTTAGTCTGTACCTCACATGTGGCTATTGCACGGGGTCATTAAACGAATGTGTAGAAATATGTTTCCCAACTGGATTATTGCTGGCTTGCTGACTTGTATAAATCTAGTATTTTCTGGCATTGCTTTGTATTCCCGCTTGTACACTAAATATATGAAATAGGATACGTGATAAATAATTACATGATAAACTATTAGTAATCAGAGATTATGAGAGTGCGTTCGACGCTCTCACTTTAATATATATATACCGTAAATAAATGATTTCACTAGACTACGAGTAGTCCCTCTTTCGC